CAGATCCTGAACCCCTTCTATGTGTTCCAAGCCTTCACCCTGGCACTCTGGCTGGCCCAAGGGTACATTGAGTACTCCATCTCCATCATCATCATGTCCATCATCTCCATCAGCCTCACTGTCTATGATCTGCGGCGGGTGAGTGGCCCAAGCCCTTCAGCCAGACAGTAGGGCACAGCTAAAGCACTCCTGAAAGATGGCCGTCCAACCCCTATTAAAAGATCTCTTAAGGTGGAGAGCCTACCACCATCCAAGGTGGTCTTTTGGTAGGATGCTAGAGTTAAAGGGACCCCCAGAGTCCATCTAGTCCAACCTCATTCTACCCTGAAGGAAGACCCAACCAAAACACTCCTGAAAGATGGTCACCCAAGCTAAGTTTAAGGACCTTCGAAGACTGTGAGTCCATCGTCTTACTCTGAAGGAGTCTATTCCACTATCAATGGCTTTTTTGGCATTTAAATCCACTGTTTTGTGTTTTGGTTTCTGGATCTTTGACAGCCCTCCAGATATTTATAAATAGCTCTTGCCTCTCCGCTTTCTCTTTTGCTTTCCCACAGCAATCCATCAATTTGCACAACTTGGTGAAGGAGCATAACAAGGTCCAAGTCACAGTCTGGACTAAAGCCAAAGGTGAGAATATGTTGTCTTGATGTTGACGGCAGTCCTCCTCTCTGGAGGTTTTTAAGCAGAGGTTGGATGGCCATCTGTTGGGAGGGCTTGGATTGTGTATTGCTGCCTAGCAGAAAGGGATTGGACTGAATGTCCCTTCCAACTCTTCTGGGAGCCCAGTGGAGCCTCATTCTCTGGAGGTTTTCAAACACAGGCTAGAAATGGGTGTCTATCGGGAGGGCTTAGATGGTGTCATCTGGCCTGGCAGAAGAGTGTTAGACTAGATAGCCCTTGGGGATCAAATGAAGGAAACCTCCAGGAGAGGATCACCATCAGTTAGACTCAATGGCAACACTGGTTTCCCATTAAGCTTTGCCTTTCCACAGGTGAGCACCAGTCGGAGTCCTGCAACTTGGTCCCAGGAGACGTCCTCCTCTTGGAAGGCCAGAAGCATTCCTTGCCCTGCGATGCCATCCTCCTGGAGGGAAGTTGTGTGGTTGACGAAGGCATGCTCACAGGTGTGCAATAATGGCCTTTGTCCTCTGCCTCTCCTTTTGTGCAGCTTTCCAAGCAGGTGCTGCTTCTGGCATCAAACAGCAGAAACGGTTCAAAGAGCTTGACCCCACTTGAACTGCCTTGATTCATTGCTATGGGATCCTGGGAGCTGCAGCCTCCTCTGCCAGAGAGGACCGGTGCCTCACCAAGGCATGATTAACGGGATCCCAGAGGACTGAGCCAGGGCGGTTAAAGCCATCTCAAACTGCAGTCATTTACAAATGTAGTAATGGAATAACACTATGATGCTTGTGTCTTGAATTGCTATACTCTTACGATGCTTTTTCCTTAAATTGCTATAACATGATAATGTTTTTGCCCTGAAATGTTGTGGCAATTTGATACTTTGACCTTGTGATGCTATATGTCTCCTGCCTATGTCATCAGCTGGGGACCCCTCCCCTCAGCACCAAGTGCCGCTCTGGGCCAGAGTGAAGAGAGAGGGGACCAGGGGACAGTTCCATCTTGTCTCCTGCATATGTCATCAATTGGGGACCCCCCCCCCAGCACCAACTGCCGCTCTGGGCCAGAGTGAAGAGAGAGGGGGCCAGGGGACAGTTCCATCTTGTCTCCTGCATATGTCATCAATTGGGGACCCCCCCCCAGCACCAACTGCCGCTCTGGGCCAGAGTGAAGAGAGAGGGGGCCAGGGGACAGTTCCATCTTGTCTCCTGCATATGTCATCAGCTGGGGACCCCTCCCCTCAGCACCAAGTGCCGCTCTGGGCCAGAGTGAAGAGAGAGGGGACCAGGGGACAGTTCCATCTTGTCTCCTGCATATGTCATCAGTTGGGGACCCCCCCCCAACACCAATTGCCGCTCTGGGCCAGAGTGAAGAGAGAGGGGGCCAGGGTACAGTTCCATCCTGTCTCCTGCATATGTCATCAGTTGGGAACCCCTCCCCCCAGCACCAAGTGCCGCTCTGGGCCAGAGTGAAGAGAGAGGGGGCCAGGGGACAGTTCCATCTTGTCTCCTGCATATGTCATCAATTGGGGACCCCCCCCCCAGCACGAACTGCCGCTCTGGGCCAGAGTGAAGAGAGAGGGGGCCAGGGGACAGTTCCATCTTGTCTCCTGCATATGTCATCAATTGGGGACCCCCCCCCAGCACGAACTGCCGCTCTGGGCCAGAGTGAAGAGAGAGGGGGCCAGGGGACAGTTCCATCTTGTCTCCTGCATATGTCATCAATTGGGGACCCCTCCCCCCAGCACCAACTGCCGCTCTGGGCCAGAGTGAAGAGAGAGGGGCCAGGGGACAGTTCCATCTTGTCTCCTGCATATGTCATCAATTGGGGATCCCTCCCCCCAGTATTAACTACTGCTCTGGGCCAGAGTGAAGAGAGAGGGGTCCAGGGGACAGTTCCATCTTGTCTCCTGCATATGTCATCAGTTGGGGACCCCTCCCCCAGCACCAACTGCTGTTCTGGGCCAGAGTGAAGAGAGAGGGGGGTCAGGGGACAGTTCCATCTTGTCTCCTGCACATGTCATCAGTTGGGGACCCCTCCCCCAGCACCAACTGCTGTTCTGGGCCAGAGTGAAGAGAGAGGGGGGTCAGGGGACAGTTCCATCTTGTCTCCTGCACATGTCATCAAGTTGGGGACCCCTCCCCCAGCACCAACTGCCGCTCTGGGCCAGAGTGAAGAGAGAGGGGGCCAGGGGACAGTTCCATCTTGTCTCTTACATATGTCATCAGTTGGAGACTCCTTCTCCCAGCACCAACGGAGCCTGACTGAAGAGAGAGGGGGCCAGGGGACAGTTCCATCTTGTCTCCTGCATATGTCATCAGTTGGGGATCCTTTCCCCCAGCACCAACTGCTGCTCTGGGCCAGAGCGAAGAGAGAGGGGGCCAGGAGACAGTTCCACCTTGTCTCCTGCATATGTCATCATGGGACCCCTCCCCCCCAGCACCAACTGCCGCTCTGGGCCAGAGTGAGAGAGGGGGCCAGGGGACAGTTCCATCTTGTCTCCTGCATATGTCATTCAGTTGGGGACCTCCCCCCCCAGCACCAACTGCCGCTCTGGGCCAGAGTGAAGAGAGAGGGGGCCAGGGCACAGTTCCATCTTGTCTCCTGCATATGTCATCAGTTGGGGACCCGTCACCCCAGCACCAACTGCCGCTCTGGGCCAGAGTGAAGAGAGAGGGGCCAGGGGACAGTTCCATCTTGTCTCCTGCATATGTCATCAGTTGGGGACCCCTCCCCCAGCACCAATTGCCACTCTGGGCCAGAGTGAAGAGAGAGGGGGACAGTTCCATCTTGTCTCCTGCATATGTCATCATTTGGGGACCCCTTCCCCCAGCAGCAACTGCTGCTCTGGGCCAGAGTGACGAGAGAGGGGGCAGGAGACAGTTCCATCTTGTCTCCTGCAATGTCATCAGTAAGGAACCCTCCCCCCAGCACGCTACTCTGGGCCAGAGTGAAGAGAGAGGGGGCCAGGGGATGGTTCCATCTTGTCTCCTGCATATGTCATCAGTTGGGGACCCCTCCCCCAGCACCAACTGCCGCTCTGGGCCAGAGTGAAGAGAGAGGGGGCCAGGGGACAGTTCCATCTTGTCTCCTGCATATGTCATCAGTTGGGGACCCCTCCCCCCAGCACCAACTGCCCTCTGGGCCAGAGTGAAGAGAGAGGGGGCCAGGGGACAGTTCCATCTTGTCTCCTGCATATGTCATTAGTTGGGGGCCTTGTGATGCTATAATGGTTTTGCCTTGAACTTCTATACTGTTATGGTGCTTTCGCCTTGAATTGCTATAACACTATGATGCTTTTGACTTGAATTGCTATTCTATTAACTGTTGGGATCCTAGCACTTTATGCCATTAGCACTTTAAATTACCTTTTGTGTGGCACTTAACCAACTATAGCACTTTAACTGACTGATAAGTGACTGATACATCTAGGGCTGATTTAGGCCTCCATGACGCACCTTATTTAACACCTTGGGGACTGATAAGTGTCTGATACATCCAGGGCTGATTAGGCCTCCATGACGCACTTTATCTAACACCTTGGGTAAACTGTCAAGCTATCGCATTTAATTGTTGTTCTGTTGTGCTGTGTTGAATAAGTTTCCATCTGTACTTTAAGAGCTCAATTTTTGCCCCTGATTGTGCTGAACAACTACTACCCATGTTACCATCTATTCCTTGGCATCTGCTAATTTGGTTGCTAATTGCACATGTGGGTTATAGGAAATGGAATAGCACGGGGGAACTCGAATATAATTCAACAGGACCAGGGAACATTTGGAAAACAAAGCCATGGCAAACCGAAATTGTAACATGGCATGCAAATCGCAATGATCCTTGGTCTATTATCACAGGTACCAAATGCGTCATGGAGGAGGGAGAGGCTTCCGTTAACCGAGGAGCCCCCATAGAAGTCGTGGTGGGGATGGGGAGATACGGGAAAGGGAGACCTTCAATTCGGCCTAGGGAACGTGGAACAACATTAGTAATTCCAAATCGATCTCCTGATATGGTAAGTAGAAATCGATCTCCAGGATGGCGGGCCCTCTGGATTGAAAGTGGTGCTGTTGAACGCCAGATCTGTCAACGGTAAAACAACTTTCATCCAGGACTTAATTCTGGATGAACGGGCAGATCTGGCGTGCATCACGGAAACCTGGCTGGACGAAGCGGGAGGCGTAAATTTGACCCAACTTTGTCCACCCGGGTTCTCTGTGCAGCACCAACCGAGATCCGGAGGGCGGGGAGGCGGAGTTGCAGTAGTCTATAGAGATTCCATTTCTCTGACCAGGACCCCCATCCCGCAGTCAACAAATTTTGAATGCGTCCACCTGAGGGTGGGTGACCGGGACAGATTAGGGATTCTGTTAGTGTACCGTCCACCTCGCTGCACTACAGTCTCCCTGCCTGAGCTAGCGGGGGTGGTCTCGGACCTGGCATTGGAGTCCCAACGGCTTCTGCTGGGAGACTTCAACATCCATGCCGAGGCAACCCTCACAGGAGCGGCTCAGGACTTCATGTCTACCATGGCAACCATGGGGCTGTCCCAACAAATATCTGGCCCCACCCACTGTGCTGGACATACATTGGACTTGGTTTTCTGCCAGGGATGGGAGCAAGGTGGCGGTGTGGAGGAGTTATCCATCTCTCCGTTGCCATGGACCGACCCCGCCTGGTCAGCTTTAGACTTGCTGCACCTCCTAACCTCCGCAGAGGTGGAGGACCCGTTAAATTGGTCCGCCCCAGGAGGCTTATGGATCCAGAAGGATTCCTGATGGCTCTTGGGGATTTTCCCGCCACCTCGGTTGGTGATCCTGTCGATGCCCTGGTCGCTCTCTGGAATGGGGAGATGACTAGGGCAATAGACACGATCGCTCCAGAACGTCCCCTCTCAAGTAGCCGAACTAAACCAGCCCCTTGGTTCACTGAGGAGCTGGCGGTGTTGAAGCGAAAGAAGAGGGAACTAGAGAGCGTGTGGCGTTCGGATCCGAGCGAGCCAAACCGAACACGGTTTGTGTCCTTTTTAAGGTCATATGCCGCGGCAATAAGGGCCGCAAAGAAAACTTTCTTTGCGGCCACTATTGCGTCTGCAAAGAACCGTCCGGCTGAACTGTTTCGAGTTGTCAGAGGCCTATTAAAACCCTCCATTCAGGATGGGTGCCCTGATGACTCAGCAGCTCGCTGTGAAGCTTTTGCTCGGTTCTTTACAGACAAAGTCGCTTTGATCCGCTCTGGACTGGACGCCGCATTAACGGCAGTCTCTGAGGATGTAACACGAGCATCTGCTTGTCCGATTTTGATGGATTCATTTCAATTGGTTCAAACTGAGGATGTGGACAAGGTACTTGGAGGAATGAGAGCTTACCATGCATCCTAGACACCTGCCCATCCTGGCTTCTAAAGGAGGCCAGAGGGGGATTGGCCGAGTGGGTGAAGGTGGTGGTTAATGCCTCCCTTCGGGAGGGCAAAATTCCAGCCAGCTTAAAACAAGCTGTGATAAAACCGCTGTTGAAGAAACCATCACTGGACCCCACTCAATTGGTCAACTATCGGCCTGTTTCCAATCTTCCCTTTTTGGGCAAAGTCATGGAACGTGTGGTGGCCTCACAACTCCAGGCATTCTTGGTAGACACGGATTATCTAGACCCGGCACAGTCTGGCTTTAGGCCGGGACATGGTACCGAGACAGCCTTGGTCGCCTTAGTGGATGATCTGCGTCGGGAGCTCGACAGGGGGAGTGTGTCCCTGTTGGTGCTACTCGACCTCTCAGCGGCCTTCGATACCGTCGACCACGGTATCCTTCTGGGACGCCTCGCGGGAATGGGTCTCGGAGGTACTGTTCTGCAGTGGCTCCGGTCATTTCTCGAGGGTCGGTCTCAGAAGGTGTTACTGGGGGACTCCTGTTCTACCCCACAACCGTTGTTTTGTGGGGTTCCTCAGGGTTCAATACTGTCCCCCATGCTGTTTAACATCTACATGAAGCCACTGGGCGAGATCATCCGGAGTTTCGGGGTACGGTGTCATCTGTACGCAGATGATGTCCAGCTCTGTCACTCCTTCCCACCTGCTACTAAGGAGGCTGTCCAGGTCCTGAACCGGTTCTTGGCCGCTGTGACGGTCTGGATGAGGGCGAACAAATTGAAATTGAATCCAGACAAGACAGAGGTACTCCTGGTCAGTCGTAAGGCCGAACAGGGTATAGGGTTACAGCCTGTGTTGGATGGGGTCGCACTCCCCCTGAAGACGCAGGTTCGCAGTTTGGGTGTGATCCTGGACTCATCGCTGAGCCTGGAACCCCAGGTTTCGGCGGTGACCAGGGGAGCATTCGCACAGTTAAAACTCGTGCGCCAACTGCGCCCGTACCTTGGGAAGTCTGACTTGGCCACGGTAGTCCACGCTCTGGTTACATCCCGCCTTGACTACTGCAACGCTCTCTACGTGGGGTTGCCTTTGAAGACGGCCGGAAGCTCCAACTAGTCCAACGGGCGGCAGCCATGGTTTTAACAGGAGCAGGGCGCAGGGAGCATACAACTCCTCTGCTGTACCAGCTCCACTGGCTGCCGATTAGCTACCGAGCCGAATTCAAAGTGCTGGCTTTGACCTTTAAAGCCCTAAACGGTTCTGGCCCTACATACCTATCCGAACGCATCTCGCTCTATCAGCCCACCAGGACCCTAAGATCTTCAGGAGAGGTCCTTCTCTCTATCCCACCTGCTTCACAGGTGCGGCTCGTGGGTACGAGAGATAGGGCCTTTTCTGTGGTGGCCCCCCGGCTTTGGAATGCCCTCCCTACTGAAATAAGATCAGCCACCTCGCTAATGGCATTTCGGAAAAAATTGAAAACTTGGATGTTTCAGCAAGTCTTTGGTTAACTTGACTTGATGATGTTTTGACCATGGATTAGCAATCTCGGACGACGAATTGGATTGTGGCTTTAATCATGAGATGTTTTGACTTGTATTGGTGGCCCAATACTATGTATGTATATGTATGTATTTTATAGTGTAATTTTTATATTAAATTGTAATATTGTAGTTTTAATTATGCTGTAAACCGCAATGAGTCGCCATACAGGCTGAGATATTGGCGGTATATAAGCGCACCAAATAAATAAATAAATAAATAAATATGCTATCATGACACTGTTTCCTTGAAATGCTGTAATGCTATGATGCTTTTCCCCTGTAACATTATGGCTCCAATGTGGCAGTTCTGTGTCTCTTGCTAATGCTTTCTGCCCAGGTGCACTGATTCAAGGTGTGTGGGGGATGTGGGGTGCCTTTGCAGGTGAGAGTGTCCCGGTGACCAAGACCCCTTTGCCCCAAGTGGACAACGTCCAGCCCTGGAAGAAGCACAGCCTGGAGGACCACCGGCGCCACGTCCTCTTCTGCGGCACAGAGGTCATCCAGACCAGGCCCAGCGGCAAAGGGCCGGTCAGAGCCCTTGTGTTGCAGACAGGTGAGGGTCTTCACTCCACCTTTTGAGGAAGAGGAGGGCTACTCTGTCCTTGTGGGTGTGAGAAAGAGAAATTAGGAGCTGAGATGGACAGACTGACTGTGCTGATCACATGCTGCAAACTTCATGCATTAATCCTCTGAGAGTCTTCCTGCAGGTTTCAACACAGCGAAGGGGGACTTGGTGCGGTCCATCCTCTACCCAAAACCCATGAACTTCCGGCTCCACAAAGAGGCCTTCTTCTTCATTGTTGGCCTGGTCATCATTGGGCTCATAGGGCTGGTCTATGCGGTGGCCGTCTTCAGGAGCCAAGGGGTGAGTTTGGTCAGTGAAACCCCAGCGCCTCCATCCCAAGTCCCCTTCTCTCCCCAATGTTGGGGGGGGGGCTGAGTGTCATTAATACTTTTTGAATCTTAGAAATGTTGTTTAATCTGCTTTCAGTGGGGCATAGTACATCAGGCACTTTCAGAGAAAGAAGTACATACACAGACTCCAGTACTGGTTTTATAATCACGATACTGGTTACACAGACAAAAGGGAAACACATACTCAACATTCACTCACATACATTCTGTTACATACATACTCACCAATCCTGTCTGCTGATGGAGGAGAGAGGTGGGTGCGCAGCAAATGGATTCTAGCCAACGTCCCATGCAATAGACACACAGGCATGAGGAAAAAGAACAGAAAAAACTTTACTCTTGTCAGCAGAGTCAAACATAAACTTGCAGTGTGGCATACAAAAATCAAACAGTGCAACAAACTTACACAGTCCTTGTAAGAAACATAGAATAAGGCATTTTCATCTTCAATCAAATGAGAGAGCAAAACATAAACCTTGAGTAAATAGCTATTCCACCAGCTGAACTGTATTCTAAAATCCATACAGTTATACCCCACCGGGTATGGCCCAACCTTGCTGGCTGACCTACATTACCAGCTGCACATACTAATTACCTCACACACTTGGTCCTGCTACGACTTACTGTAACAGATTCTACATTCCTCATAGATCTGACACACTTTTTGAAGAGAAAATGGTCTCCTTGTGTATAACTTTTTTGCTGTTGTTCTTTGATTGTTTTGGCACCTCGTCATTCAACTCAGACTTGCTGGAGCTCCATCAAGTCTGGAACAGATGTTGTTCTTCTTCCTTAACGTAAAAAATTATTGTTTCTGACTTACTTAACTTAAAGAATCATTGTCTCTAACCATGTAAACATGTGTTGTTTACACCAAAAGTTCTCAGGTCAACTATTTTCAGCACTTTTCTTCCCACAGTTCATCAAATCTTCACCTCCTTTATTATTATTATTATTATTATTATTATTATTATTATTATTATTATTTACTTAATTTACATACCACTTTTCTTAGCCCTTGAGCGACTCAAAGCGGTTATCAATAGCAAAATTCAATGCTCAACATCATAATCATCATCATCATCATCATCATCATCATTTAATTACTTATTAATCGCCCTCCATCCAAGATGCTCATCATAAATAGAGTTTAAAAAACAGTTTAAAAACAATGATATAATAAACAATCAGTTAAACATAACTATAACATCTCATAGGTAGAATCAAGATCCAATCTCATAATCCGTTGTTCCATGTTCCTATATTCAATACACTAGTATTGTCATTCTAGTCCATGTCCTTTAAACTCTACAAACATCTACTGTCCGAAGGCCTGGTCCCAAAGCCATGATTTTAATTTCTTTCTGAAAGCCAGGAGGGAGGGAGCAGATCTTACCTCATTTGGGAGTGTGTTCCATAGGCGAGGGGCCACCGCCGAGAAGGCCCTGTCTCTCGTCCCCGCCAGACGCATTTGCGCAATTGACAGGAGCGAGAGCAGGGCCTCCCCAGATGATTTTAGATTACGAAGTGGGACGTAGGGGTAGATGCGTTCGGACAAGCTTTATAGGTCAAAACCAGCACATTGAATTGGGCTCGGAGATGGACCAGCAGCCAGTGGAGCTGGCATAACAGGGGGGTGGTATGCTCCCTGTATGTCACCCCATTTAGTAATCTGGCTGCCGCCCATTGAACTAGCTGAAGTTTCCGAACCATCTTCAAAAGCAGCCCCACATAGAGTGCTTTGCAGTAATCTATTTGGGATGTAACCAGAGTGTGTACCACCATGGCCAGATTGTTTCTCCATAATGCAATTTTCCAAATTTCTTAGGATGGTGTCTTCAGCCTWACTAGGCCTTAATAAGCCCTTCACCAGACCCCAATTGTACAAAGTCATTCAATCCACTCATCACATGCGTTGGGGGGGGGGGGTCCACAGTCTCTCTCTATGAAAGGCAAAGAGACCTTGGGATCTCTCCTGTCCTTCTTTGGAAACCCAGGACTATTCCTCGCCTTGACCCTTCTCATATGCTGCCTAATGTGTCTTTGCCCCCTTCCACAGAGGCCTGCTTCGGAAACAGTGACCATGGCGCTCCTTCTCCTGACAGCCGCTGTCCCTCCGGCCATTCCAGCCGCCTTGACCACTGGCATTGTCTACGCCCAGCGGAGGCTCAAGAAGAAGAAGATCTTCTGCATCAGCCCTCAAAGGATCAATATCTGTGGGCAGATCAACCTGGTCTGCTTCGACAAGGTGCACCCTGGGATCTTCTGGATGGTTTGTGAATAGAAAATGGGAGGGTGGAGAAAGGAGACCTAGAGCCACTAACGGTGCCCTGGGTAAATAGAATCATGAAGTCCTAGAATTGGAAGGGTCCTCCAAGGTCCATCGAGTCCAACCCCCTTCTGCCAGGCAGGAAGACCCATTCCACTCACAATCCTGATAGATGGCCATCTGGCTTCTGTTTCGAAATCTCCAGAGAAGGAGACTCCAACAGACTCCCAGAATCTGTATGTTATGTCAAATAATTTAGACCATCAATAAGTTCTTCCTAATCCTTTCCTGCAATTTGAATGGTATTAGCAGTGGGCTCCAGAGAATGTCCCGCTTTCCTGAAGGAACCCAGGCTCCCTTTCATCCCACTGCCCCTCATGCCCCTCATTTCTGCCCCTCTTGACCCACTTCCACCCAAAAGGGCCTGCCCTTGACCCTTCCCTGACCCACTAAAACCAGGCCAAAAATCACGGCCATCTTTTCCTAATTTTCATTTAAAACTCTCCTTGATCCTAGACTGGGACGTTGACGGAGGACGGTCTAGATCTTTGGGGGGCCATCCCTTGCCAGGGAAGGAGGTAAGTAAGGAATACAGGTTGTAAATCGGTCCAACGCATGCAAGGAAGTTGTATCCTGTTGTTGTTGTTGTTAGTTTATATGTTTATATCCCACATTTCTCTCTGGGTTGAGACCCAAATCAGCATCTCCCAGAGTTTGTGTTGATACGTTCTCAGTGCCCTTTGGACGTCCACACGCACATCTTGGATGCAGTGTGGCTCCCCTTTAACTGCCATGGCTCCATTATACACACACACACACACACACACACACACACACACACACTAGCCACCCCCTACTGTGGCCCACATGGGGGTTCTGTGTGGGAGGTTTGGCCCAATTCTATCATTGGTGGGGTTCAGAATGCTCTGTGATTGTGGGTGAACTATAAATCCCAGCAACTACAACTTCCAAATGTCAAGGTTCTATTTTCCCCAAACTCCACCAGAGTTCACATTTGGGCATATTGAGTGTAAGTGTAGAGTTTGGTCCCGATCCATCATTGTTTGAGTTCACAGTGATCTCTGGATGTAGGTGAACTACAACTCCACAACCAAAGGACACTGCCCACCAAACCCTTCCAGTATTTTCTGTTGGTCATGGGAGAACTGTGTGCCAAGTTTGGTTCAATTCCATCGTTGGTGGGGTTCAGAATGCTCTTTGATTGTAGGTGAACTATAAATCCCAGCAACTACAACTCCCAAATGACAAAATCAATTTTTTTTTTAGTGAAGGACATACATTGGGTTGTTAGGTGCATTGTGTCCAAATTTGGTGTCAATTCGTCCAGTGGTTTTTGAGTTCTGTTAATCCCACAAACGAACATTACATTTATAGAGAGAGAGAGAGAGAGAGAGAGAGAGAGAGTTGTCAGGAGAGACTTGAGAAACTGCAAGTCGCTTCTGATGTGAGAGAATTGGCCATCTGCAAGGACGTTGCCCAGGGAACACTGGGATGTTTTGATGTTTGACCATCCTTGTGAGAGGTTTCTCTCATGTCCCTGCATGGGGAGCTGGAGCTGACAGAGGAAGCTCATCCACGCTCTTCCCGGATTCAAACCTGTGACCTGTTGGTCTTCAGTCCTGCCGGCACAAGGGTTTAACCCACTGTGCCACTGGGAGCTCCTGGCTCAATAAGATGGAATCTTGGGAGTTGTAGTTTTACAAGGGTATTAGTCTTGTTGGCCAAACAAAAATAGTGCCTCGCTAGAGTACAAAATCCCAGGACTCCACAGCATTGAGCCTTGAAACAGAGGCTCTCAAACTTTGGGGTGAAGTTTTCCAGAAAACACCATAGTTCTTCAAAGGCAGGGTAAGACATTGAGTTATTACAGCCATCCACTGAATTGGGAGGATGTTATGCATGTCAATATAAGGAGTACAAAGTTTGAGAATCAGAGAAGAGCCAAAAACAAAGGAGAGGTCCCCCAGCAAAAGGGCAAAAAAGCCATTGTTTGCTTGCCCTCTTGAACCCTTAACAGATGAAGTGAAGGAGGCCTACAATTTTCGGACTAGAAACTCTTGTCTGCCCTGTTTTGTGAGAACAGGTTCAGTAGAAGCAACAGTTGGAAATGACCAGAAGGCAGGTTTATGTAAGCCTTGGAAGAGACTTCCCATTAATCACAAATACTGGGTAGTCTGAGGATAAAGGAAGATGTAGATAAGGTGTTGGTTCTGGGGAGGCTAGGAGGAAAAACTTGATGAAGTCTTCTGCCAACAGTTGACCAAAGAAAAAGAGTAGTCATGGGCGATTTCAACTATCCCGATATTTGCTGGAAAACAAACTCGGCCAAGAGTACAAGGTCCAACAAATTCCTCGCTTGCCTTGCAGACAATTTCATGGTCCAGAAGGTAGAAGAGGCAACAAGGAGATTGGCTACTCTTGATCTCATCCTAACAAATGCGGAGGACCTGATCGATGCGGTTGAAGTGGTAGGATCCTTAGGGGCAAGTGACCATGTGCTCCTGCAATTTGAGGTACAAAGGAAGGCCGAAACTAAGACAAGTCAAACCCGCATTTTGGACTTTAGGAGAGCTGATTTGAAAAAAATGAAGGAAACGCTGAGCAGCATTCCGTGGACACAGATACTAAAAGACAAGGGAGTTACGGATGGATGGGAATTTCTCAAGAGTGAAATACTCAAGGCGCAATTGCAAACCATGCCAACAAAGAGAAAAAAATAGGACAAGTGCAAAGAAGCCAGAATGGATGTCCAAAGAACTTCTAACTGTGCTAAGACACAAAAGAGACATGCACAAGAAGTGGAAAATGGGAGAAATCACCAAAGAAGAATTCAAACAAATAGCCAACACCTGTAGGGAAAAGGTCCGCAAGGCTAAAGCACAAAATGAGCTCAGGCTTGCCAGGGACATTAAAAACAATAAAAAGGGCTTCTATTCTTATGTCAGTAGAAAAAGGAAAAACAAGGAGGCGATAGGACCTCTTCGCGGAGAAGATGGGGCAATGCTGACAGGGGATAGGGAAAAGGCAGAACTACTTAATGCCTTCTTTGCCTCAGTCTTCTCACAAAAAGAAAGTCATCGTCAACCTCAGCAAGATGGAGTGGATGAGGGATTAGAGGACATCCAACCCCAAATTGGGAAACAAGTCATCCAGGAATACCTGGCTGCTCTAAATGAGTTCAAGTCCCCAGGGCCAGATCAACTACACCCAAGAGTATTGAAGGAACTAGCAGAAGTCATTTCAGAACCATTGGCAATCATCTTTGAGAGTTCTTGGAGAACGGGAGAAGTTCCAGCAGATGGAGGAGGGCCAATGTGGTCCAATCTTCAAGAAGGGAAAAAAGGATGACCCAAACAACTACCTCCGGTCAGCCTCACGTCGATACCGGGCAAGATTCTGGAAAAGATTGTTAAGGAAGTGGTCTGCAAACACTTAGAAACAAATGCGGTCATCGCTAATAGTCAACATGGATTTATCAAAAACAAGTCATGCCAGACTAATCTGATCTCTTTTTTCTATAGAGTTACAAGCCGGGTAGATGCGGGGAATGCCGTGGATGTAGCGTACCTGGATTTCAGGAAGGCCTTCTGACAAGGTCCCCCATGACCTTCTGGCAAGGAAACTAGTCCAATGTGGGCGAGGCAAAACTAGGGTGAGGTGGATCTGGAATTGGTTAAATGGACGAACCCAGAGGGTGATTCTCCCCAAGGCTTCCCCCTGGAAAGAAGTGACAAGCGGAGTGCCGCAGGGTTCTGTCCTGGGCCCGGTCCTGTTCAATATCTTTATTAATGACTCAGATGAAGGGCTAGAATGCATGATCATCAAGTTTGCAGACGACACCCAATTGGGAGGAATAGCCAATACTCCAGAGGACAGGAGCAGGATTCAAAACGATCTTGACAGATGAGAGAGATGATGGGCCAAAACTAACAAAATGAAGTTCAACAGGGACAAATGCAAGATACTCCACTTAGGCAGAAAAAACAAAATGCAAAAATACAGAATGGGGGATGCCTTTCTAGACAGAAGTACATGTGAAAAAGATCTTGGAGTCCTTTGGACAACAAGTTAAACATGAGCCAACAATGTGATGTGGCGGCAAAAAAAGCCAATGGGATTGGCCTGCATCAATCGGAGCATCCAGTCCAAAGCGACTAAAATGATCAAGGGTGGAGAACAAGCCCTATGAGGAGCGGCTTAAAGAGCTGGGCATGTTTAGCCTGAGAAGAGAAGGCTGAGAGGAGACATGATGAGGTATCAAGATGTGAGGGGAAGTCATAGGGAGGAGGGAGCAAGCTTGTTTTCTGCTTCCCTGGAGACTAGGATGCGGAACAATGGCTTCAAACTACAAGAAAGGAGATTCCATCTGAACATGAGGAAGAACTTCCTGACTGTGAGAGCCATTCAGCAGTGGAACTCTCTGCCCCAGAGTATGGTAGATGCTCCTTCATTAGAAGCTTTTAAACAGAGGGTGGATGGCTATCTGTCGGGGGTGCTTTAAATGCATTTTTTCTACTTCTTGGCAGAATGGGGTTGGACTGGATGGACCACGAGGTCTCTTCCAACTCTTTGATACTATGATTCTATGATCTGTCGGGGTGCTTTAAATGCATTTTTCCTGCTAGTTGGCAAAATGGGGTTGGACTGGCTGGACCACGAGGTCTCTTCCAACTCTAGGGTTCTAGGATTCTATGATTCTATTCTATGAAAAGAAAGTAATGAGCAAATGGGGCAAAGATCAATGAGGGGATGGAGTGTCTTCAGCTCAAGAAGATCAGTCATTGCTGTAAAGCCTTGTTCTGTGTGCAACTGACTTATTTGCTTGTGCTTCTCTCTTTTGTGTCGCAGCTTCCTCCCGCTGCACAGCTTCTCCTCCTCGGGCCCTTTGCCCTGGGGCCCCCTCTGCCAAGCCATGGCCACCTGCCATTCGCTCCTCTTTCTGGAGGGGAAGATCCAGGGGGACCCCATGGACCTCAAGATGTTTGAAGGCACCGGATGGGTGAGCCTCTTCCCCTCCATCACAATTAGTATATCATTAGTATTTTGCAGTAATGCCACCTGCAAGTGTGTTAAGAGGAATCCCCTGGAATGGCTAGTGTGTTTCTCTTCCTTCAGGAGATGCAAGAACCCAGTTCGGAAAAGGAAACAGGGGAGATGGAGGCATTCCCCATTGTTAAACCAGGAGCCTCTGCTTCCCAGGTAAATTTCCCACCAAAGGACCCTTTGCCTTGGAAGACCCTTCATGGTGCAAACTAGCCACCCAACTCTTGGAAATTGGTTGCTAGATTTGCAGCCTCTGGGATTTAGCATTGATTGCATGTAAAGAACTTCCAAGTCAATCTGGAAACTAGATGTGCACCTACCATGTAGATCTAATGTAGTTTGACTCCACTTTATCTGACTTGGCTCAATGCTATGGGATCCTGGGAGTTGTGGCTTCTCTGTCAAAGAGGGCTGGTGCCTCATAGAATCAAAGAATCAAAGAGTTGGAAGAGACCTCATGGGCCATCCAGTCCAACCCCATTCTGCAAAGAAGCAGGAATATTGCATTCAAATCACCCCTGACAGATGGCCATCCAGCCTCTGTTTAAAAGCTTCCAAAGAAGGAGCCTCCACCACACTCCGGGGCAGAGAGTTCCACTGCTGAACGGCTCTCACAGTCAGGAAGTTCTTCCTCATGTTCAGATGGAATTTCTGAGGGTGAGAGGGTATGGGTTGCCCAAGGTCAATCTGGTCTTCCAAAGTCATAGTGCTCCTCCTCCCTAGCTTCCTCACATATTTATACATGGCCATCATCATGTCTCCTCATCACCTTCTCTTCTTCAGGCTAAACATGCCCAGCTCTTTAAGCTGCTCCTCATAGGGCTTGTTCTCCAGACCCTTGATCATTTTAGTTGCCCTCCTCTGGACACATTCCAGCTTAGAGTCAATATCTCTCTTGAATTGTGGTGCCCAGAATTGGACACAATATTCCAGGTAAAGTGGTCTAACCAAAGCGAAATAGAGGGGTAGCCTCACCAAACTTCAAATCCCAGGATTTCATTGCATTGAGCCATGGCAGTTCAAATACCATCAAACTTCCTTATTGAACTTATTTGACAGTATGGATGCACCCTGAGATGCATCCGCAAAGAAAATTCCATGAAAAATAAACTGAAAGGAAAGGTTAATGCAGAAATCCAGAGGAGGGCTTGTATCACCCACTGAAAAGATTTGGGAGATGCAGTGCAGAGCCAAGTGGGTCAATGGGTGAACACAGAGAAGCATCCAGATGCAAAACTCTTGCAAAACTCAGGTGTAAACTGGCTTCTGCATGAAATGGGGGTCCAGATATCTTGCATGCTTACAACCCAATGTCCCTTGGTGGAAGGCCAGTTTAATGGAGACATGATCTCACCGCCTGCTTCTCCCCTCCAGGCCCCGTTGGAAGGGATGGCCATCCTGCACCAGTTCCCCTTCTCCTCCTCTCTGCTGCGGATGTCGGTCATCACCAACGAGCTGGGGAAGGACACCCACGGCCTCTACATGAAGGGAGCCCCCGAGACCGTGGCCAGCTTCTGCAAGCCAAGGACCGGTAGGAGGCCAAGTCAATCTGCATTTTGATGGGCCAAAGCCAGAAGGGAGCCTATTATTTATTTATTTATTTACTTACTTACTTACTTACTAACTATATTTGTATACCGCTCTTCTCGGCCCTCAGGGTTACTCAGAGCGGTTGACAAAGCAAATAGAATCATAGAATCATAGAATCAAAGAGTTGGAAGAGACCTCATGGGCCATCCAGTCCAACCCCCTGCCAAGAAGCAGGAATATTGCATTCAAATCACCCCTGACAGATGGCCATCCAGCCTCTGTTTAAAAGCTTCCAAGGAAGGAGACTCCACCACACTCCAGGGCAGAGAGTTCCACTGCTGAACGGCTCTCACAGTCAGGAAGTTCTTCCTCATGTTCAGATGGAATCTCCTCTCTTGTAGTTTGAAGCCATTGTTTCGTGTCCTAGTCTCCAAGGAAGCAGAAAACAAACTTGCTCCCTCCTCCCTGTGGCTTCCTCTCACATATTTATCATATCCTCTTATTATTTATTTATTTATTATTTATTTATTTAATACACTTATATACCGCAGTATCTCAGCCTGGAACGGCGACTCATTGCGGTTTAACAACAGATAAAAGCAATATACAATTTAAAAACAGCAACATATAAAACAATACGAATTATTGGGCCACCAATAAAACTTCATGCTTCTCATCACAAAAATCGCAGTCCAGAGATCGTTGTCCGTAATTGACCAGTCCAAATTGTCCATGGATTCAGTGTTTGATAACTAGTTAAACGCTTGACTACACAGCCATGTTTTTAACCTCTTCCGGAAAACCATCAGCGAAGAAGCCGATCGTATCTCTGAAGGGAGGGTGTTCCAAAGCCGAGGGGCTACCACAGAAAAGGCCCTGTCTCTCGTTCCCACCAGCCGCGCTTGGGAAGCCGGCGGGATAGAGAGCAGGGACTCTCCAGAAGATCTTAGGGCCCTGGCGGGCTGATAGGCTGAGATACGTTCGGGATAGGTAAGTTGGGCCAGAACCGTTTAGGGCTTTATAGGCTAAAGCCAGCACTTTGAATTGTGCCCGGTAGCAAACTGGCAGCCAGTGGAGTTGGCGCAACAGAGGAGTTGTGTGCTTCCTGAGTGCCGCTCCTGTTAATAACCTGGCTGCCGAGCATTGGACCATTTGAAGCTTCCGGACAGTCTTCAAGGCAACCCCACGTAGAAAGCGTTGCAGTAGTCTAAACGGGATGTAACCAGAGCGTGGACTACCGTGGCCAAGTCAGACTTCCCAAGGTACGGGCGCAGCTGGTGCACAAGTTTTAACTGTGCGAATGCTCACCTGGTCACCGCTGAAACCTGGGGTTCCAGGCTCAGCGACGAGTCCAAGATCACACCCAAGTTGCGAACCTGCGTCTTCAGGGGGAGTGTGATCCCCCGTCTAACACAGGCTGTAACCCTATACCCTGTTCGGCCTTACGACTAACCAGGAGTACCTCTGTCTTGTCTGGATTCAATTTCAATTTGTTCGCCCCCATCCAGACCGTCACAGCGGCCAAGCACCGGTTCAGGACTTCGACAGCCTCCTTAGTAGCAGGTGGAAAGGAGTGACAGAGTTGGACATCATCTGCGTACAGATGACATCTCACTCCGAAACTCCGGATGATCTCGCCCAGCGGCTTCATGTAGATGTTAAACAACATGGGAGACAGTATTGAACCCTGAGGAACCCCACAAGACAAAGGTTGTGGGGTTGAACAGGAGTCTCCCAGTAACACCTTCTGAGATCGACCCTCTAGGAATGACCGGAGCCACTGCAAAACAGTACCTCCAAGACCCATCCCCGCGAGGCGTCCCAGAAGGAGACCGTGGTCGACGGTATCGAAGGCCGCTGAGAGGTCCAGCAGCACCAACAGGGACACACTCCCCCTGTCGAGCTCCCGACGCAGATCATCCACTAAGGCGACCAAGGCTGTCTCGGTACCATGCCCCGGCCTAAAGCCAGACTGTGCTGGATCCAGATAATCAGTGTCTACCAAGAATGCTTGGAGTTGTGAGGCCACCACACGTTCCAGGACTTTGCCCAAAAAGGGGAGATTGGAAACAGGCCGATAGTCGACGAATTGAGTGGGGTCCAGTGATGGTTTCTTCAACAGCGGTTTTATCACAGCTTGCTTTAAGCTGGCTGGAATTTTGCCCTCCCGAAGGGAGGCATTAACCACCACCTTCACCCACTCGGCCAATCCCCCTCTGGCCTCCTTCAGAAGCCAGGATGGGCAGGGGTCTAGGATGCATGTGGTAGCTCTCATTCCTCCAAGCACCTTGTCCACATCCTCGGATTGAACCAATTGAAATGAATCCATCAAAACCGGACAAGCAGATGCTCGTTACATCCTCAGATACTGCCGTTAATATGGTATCCAGTCCAGAGCGGATCAAAGCGACTTTGTCTGCGAAGAACCAAGCAAAAGCTTCGCAGCGAGCTGCCGAGTCATCAGGGCACCCATCCTGAGTGGTGGGTTTTAATAGGCCTCTGACAACTCGGAACAGTTCAGCCGGACGGTTCTTAGCAGACGCAATAGTGGCCGCAAAGAAGGTTTTCTTTGCGGCTTTTATTGCTGCGGCATATGCCCTTAAAAAGGACACAAACCGTGTTCGATTTGGCTCGCTCGGATCCGAACGCCACACGCTCTCTAGTTCCCTCTTCTTTCGCTTCAACGCTGCCAGCTCCTCGGTAAACCAAGGGGCTGGTTTAGCTCGGCTACTTGAGAGGGGACGTTCTGGAGCAATCGTGTCTATTGCCCTAGTCATCTCCCCATTCCAGAGAGCGACCAGGGCATCAACAGGATCACCAACCGAGGTGGCGGGAAATTCCCCAAGAGCCATCAGGAATCCATCTGGATCCATAAGCCTCCTGGGGCGGACCAATTTAATGGGTCCTCCACCTCTGCGGAGGTTAGGGGGTGCAGTGAGTCTAAAGCTGACCAGGTGGTGGTCGGTCCATGGCAACCGAGAGATGGTCAGCTCCTCCACCCCGCCATCTTCTTCCCATCCCTGACAGAAAACCAGATCCAGAGTGTGTCCAGCACTGTGGGTTGGACCGATACTAATTGGGACAGGTCTATGGTTGCCATGGTGGACATGAAGTCCTGAGCCGCTCCCGATAAGGCAGTCTCGGCGTGGATATTGAAGTCCCCCAGCACTAACAGCCGTTGGGACTCCAACGCCAGGTCCGAGACCACCCCTGCTAGCTCAGTCAGGGAGTCTGTAGTGCAGCGAGGTGGCCGGTACACTAACAGAATCCCTAGTCTGTCCCGGTCACCCACCCTCAGGTGGACGCATTCAAAATTTGTGGTCTGCGGAATGGGGGCTCTGGTCAGAAGAATAGAATCTCTATAGACCACTGCGACCCCGCCTCCCCGCCCTCCGGATCTCGGTTGGTGCTGCACAGAGAAACCTGGTGGGCAAAGCTGGGTTAAATTTACACCTCCCGCTTCGTCCAACCAGGTCTCTGTGATGCACGCCAGATCTGCCCGTTCATCCTGGATTAGATCCTGGATGAAAGTTGTTTTACCGTTGACAGATCTGGCGTTCAACAGCACCACTTTCAACTCGGAGGGACCGCCATCTTGGTTACACCGACTTACCATATCGGGAGATCGATTTGGAATTACTAGTGTTGTTGCACGTTCCCTAGGCCGAATTAAAGGTCTCCTTTTCCCGTATCTCCCCATCCCCACCACGACTTCTATGGGGGCTCCCCGGTTAACGGAACCCTCTCCCTCCTCCATGATGCATACGGTGGCCCTAGTATCAAACCATAGCTCCTTTGTCACTGCTATAATGTTATAATTTGATCTTTCAGGTCTGCTCCATTCCTTCTCTCTATCGTAAACAATTAGCAACAATAATAACAAGTGCCAAGGAATGGGTCGTGACATAGGTGATAGCTATTGAATCAGCTTTAAAGTGCAACAGTTTTAGCAAACAGCTCTAAGGTGCTAAATAAAGTGCATCATGGAGGACTTAAAAGTTCATTGCTAGATGGTTAGTTAAACTATTGCTGGGCTCAGTGGATAGCGATCTAATCGCCACACAGATGGTAAAGTGCTGAACAAAATAAAGTGCAAAAGTGCTAAAGTACTAAACACCCTGATAGTTATGCACTTCAGTTACTCATCAACAAGCAATTAGTATCTCACATCAGTCACACTGAGAATAGTCAGCATAATCAGTGATGACATCAACGGAAGGGATCACACAACACAGATGGCTAACACAGCAAAAGACGGTCCACACGATCAATCGTAAAGGTCAGCAATGGATTAAAAACAGAGTCTGGTACTGTCTTAGTTGGTGTTTCTTCCGGACCTAAGGCAATAGCATGAACGATGACAACCCAGTCCCAAATGGCGGCTGATGGTCAAGCTCATATAATGGTAGCCAATAATAAATAATAAGAGTTGCAGGCCTAGAGGCCCTCAGGTCCTAACAACGAGCCCAGCGGCCCAGCGACGAGGCCCGGCGGCCCCAGCGGAGGGAGGGAGGAAAGAACAGGCTTAGATGATGGTATGGCGAGGCTTGGGGACTAGGGCCTGACCCGTACAGCCCCCGTGGCACGGTGGTCCGCCCGGCGGGGTCCCCACAACAGAGGCCCAGCCAGGCGAATGTTCGCAGCTCCGACCGCTGCAGGGCCCCAACTCACTCCTCTGCAGCTGTGGAATGTCGGCCTCCTCGTCTCTTGGACTCCCGACTGTCTCGCGGCGCGCCTCCCCACGGCGCGCCTCTCCTCAGCTGCACCCGCAACCAGGGCCGAGCAGCGCAGCCGGCCCGGTCCTCACCGGAGGGCCCCCAAAGCTCGCAGGACCCTCTCCCAGGGGGAGTCCGGCCGCAGCGTGTCCTCGTGGCACGTCTCCCCGCGGCGTGTCTCCTCACAGCCGCAACAGCAAAGGGCGGCCGGGCTCAAGCCGCGCGCGGCAAGATGGCGGCCGCGGCGAGCTCACCTCGGCCCGGTCGGCCGGCGGCCCAGGTGGTGACGGAGGCCCAACGCCGGAGCTGGACCCGCCGGAGCCGGACACGGCGGCTCGGCCAGCAGACGGCCAGCCCCGTCGGAGGGACCACAGAGCAGGTAGGTTTCCTCAAAGGGAAGCTGGCAGCGTCTTAAAGCCTCCTTTCCTGGCTTGCTTTCTCACCAGTGTGGGGGAGATGCAGCCAGGACGCCGACCCTCTCCTGTTCTTGCAGGCAGGCTGATAGCAAGGTGTAGCTGGGAGACAGAAGTTCTTAAAGCCTCCTTTCCTGGCTTGCTTTCTCACCAGTGTGGGGGAGATGCAGCCAGGACGCCGACCCTCTCCTGTTCTTGCAGGCAGGCTGATAGAAAGGTGTAGCTGGGAGACAAAAGTTCTTAAAGCCTCCTTTCCTGGCTTGCTTTCTCACCAGTGTGGGGGAGATGCAGCCAGGACGCCGACTCTCTCCTGTTCTTGCAGGCAGGCTGATAGAAAGGTGTAGCTGGGAGACAAAAGTTCTTAAAGCCTCCTTTCCTGGCTTGCTTTCTCACCAGTGTGGGGGAGATGCAGCCAGGACGCCGACTCTCTCCTGTTCTTGCAGGCAGGCTGATAGCAAGATGTAGCTGGGAGACAAAAGTTCTTAAAGCCTCCTTTCCTGGCTTGCTTTCTCCCTCCTTTCCTGGCTTGCTTTTAGTCACTCTCCTCTGGACACATTCCAGCTTGTCAATATCTCTCTTCAATTGTGGTGCCCAGAATTACACACTATTCCAGGTGTGGTCCAACCAAAGCGGAATAGAGCATGAGGAGCATGACTTCCCTAGATCTAGACACTAGGCTCCTATTGATGCAGGCCAACATCCCATTGGCTTTTTTTGCTGCCATATCACATTGTTGGCTCATGTTTAACTTGTTGTCCAATACTTAATACAATACTTAAACATGATAAAAACAGTTAAAAACAAGTTAAAAGAATAACATTATAACAATCAATTAAACATCATATAACGTCTCATTATCATCTCATAGTTAAAATCAAGATCTAGTCTCATCATCCAAATGTTCCATATTTCTATATTAGTTACACTGCCTATTCAAATGCCTGCTCAAACAACCAGGTCTTCAGTTTCCTCCGAAATGTAAACAAGTAGGGGGCTGATCTAATTTCTGTGGAAGGGCGTTCCACAGCTGAGGGGCCATCACTGAGAAGGCCCTGTCTCTCGTCCCCACCAACCGTACTTGTGATGCAGGCGGGACTGAGAGCAGGGCCTCCCCAGACAATCTTAACGTCCTAGCTGGCTCATAGGAGGAGATACGTTTGGACAGGAGCAGTTGGGCCAGAACCGTTTAGGGCTTTATAGGCTAAGGCCAGCACTTTGAATTGTGCCCGGTAGCAAACTGGCAGCCAGTGGAGCTGGCGCAACAGAGGAGTTGTATGCTCCCTGTTAGTAACCTGGCTGCCAAGTGTTGGAGCATTTGAAGCTTCCGGACAGTCTTCTTGGTCTCCGACATTCCACTTCTGGGGTCCAGGCTGCAGTCACTCATGGCAAAACCCATTAGTGTCCAAATGTCCCTCCATTGGTAGACTCTGGTGAAGATGCCTCTGACTTTCCAGGCACGTGCCTTTCAAAAGGTACAAGGCATCCAAACAGGGGCCACAATCCAGTAGAGTATGATCACCCAGATAAAGCTACACTCTGGGTTTTCTCTCCCAATTGTACCCTGGATCACACCTTTGTGACTGTACCCAGTAACACCCTTTGCATTATGCTAGTGTTGCACAGTGGTTGAGAGGCTTTCAAGATACTTTCAAAAGCACAACTGCTTGTGCCACAGTGTTGTCAACAGAGCTCTAGCCATTGTGTTGTTCCTTGCAACATCAGTCTCTGAGTAGGAAGGGAAGTTCTGGAGGTTCAGAGCAAGCTTTAAGGCAGTTCTTCTCAACCTGGGGTCCCCAGATGTTTTTGGACTTCAGCTCCCAGAAATCCTAACAGCTGATAAACTGAATGGGATTTCTGGGAGTTGTAGGCCAAAAACATCTGGGGACCCCAGGTTGAGAACCACTGCTTTAAGGGTTGGTCTTATTGACTGCAGTCAAGGCAGGCCGCCTGCAGCTGCCAAAGGCTCCAGGTGGGATTCAGTCTTAGCTTTGCATGGAGCAGCTGCCAGGGATTGAACCCAAGACCTTTGGCATGCAGGGCAGGGTCCTCGACACTTAGCTCCAGCTCTCCTCAGTAGGAATTGCACCATTCTCCTCCTCCCTCTTCCCTTCCTTCCTCTTTCCTTTCTTCCTTTTTTCAATCTTCATGCAAGTCTGTTGTGAATTGCACGAAAACAAAGTGGTTTGAGCTTCTTTGCCCTGCTGTTTTGTCTGCACATTGCACGCCTTTGTCGTTCACTTCAGTTCAAATGGAGAGCCTTTGTTAATGGGTTTTGTGGGGATTAAGCTCTGTGTTTATGTAATGCCTGGTTAACTTGGGAAATTCATTGGCACCGGATTCCTGCATGGCAACTCGCATAAGAGGCTTTTGACACAGAATACTAGTTACTACTCTAAGTCAACAAATTGGTGTAAGAGGCTTTTGACACAGATTCCTACTCTCAATCAACGACTCAAAGATCACACTTTTAGGGGCAGAAATAGAGCCTCTTTGGACCAAAGGCCCACCTAGTATTGCCTTCTTGTGTTGGCCAAAACCTCTCACAAGTGGGCTCTATCTGTCCAGCAACAAATGAAAAACACATGTCACCATGGGCTATTTTGGTGCATATCCAGGACTGTTCATTTAGTCTTTGTCCAAGGCAATTGTGTGGTATCCCAAGGAGTCTCTCTAGCACCAAAGTGGGTTCATCAAAGGGTGACTGCTGTGCTGGTACGTCTGTACCAGGAGCTCCAACTTTATTTTCTTTCTATTAAGTGTTTGCATGCATTCCAAAGTTTCAGGGATTCTGCAAAAAGGTGGCTTCCTTTGGTTTGCAGTCATAGGGCAAGCCACCTGTCTATCATGGTTAAGTTTGTATCCGCCCCTTCTCCCAGGGACATGGGAAGGGAAGGGAAGCATTTTAGTTAGTCTCAGCAAGGAAAGCTAATGTACAGGATGTGTGCAAGCTTCCCCTGTACAAAAGCTTCAACCCTTAAGACTTTCCGGGGGAGAAAAGTCTTAAGAGTCTCCAAAGATTTCCAGGGAAGCAGCCCTAAAGATCAAAGAACTCCAGCTGGAGAATATCTAAGCCTTTACTGGTAGGTCCACTCGGTGCTTTGAGACCGAGTGGATCTACCAGTGGAGCCCACATCAGTAAGGGTTAGATTACAGACAGCCTGGGAGAAGTTAAAAAGGGGATTTTCCTTTAAAGTAAAGAAGAAGTTATTGAAGACAGTTGCCTGTCCTTCGTGGGCAAGATTAGGAAGCCACCAGTTGCATAAAGCTTGGAAGCATTTGTTTAACTTTCTGAAGACAAGAGAAGTTTCTGTTTGATTGTTCATTAATAAAAGACTTTGTTATACTTCACAAGCCATCTAAAGACATCTATTTGTGGTGGAAAACCTCTGAGAACTTCTCCTTGGGCCCCCTGGCTTCCCACTGGGCAAAGGTTGCACGTCCTGTTCTCAAGGAAATTCTTTACAGGCCCAGCACGCAACAGAACAACTGCAGTAGTGGCTTTGAGACATGTACTGGATGTGCAGCACCTGTCCTGGTCCTCCATCTCCCTGATATCGGAAGCCCTGCCGGGTTCTACTTCAGGGCCAGTACTTTTCCCCGACTATTGCCCATGGGTCTCTGACATGCAACACTTTCTTCCTCCCCCTCCAGTGCCTCCCTCCTTCCAAGTGGAGCTGAAGTCCTTCACGGCGCAGGGCTTCCGGGTCATCGCTTTGGCCCACAAGACTCTCTCCCTGGATGCAGGGCACAACCTCAGGGACCTGGACAGGTAAGGCCTGGCGTGTGAGAGAGAAGGGTGGCAGGGACAGCAGTACAACCTCCATAACTTTGACCCAGTGAAGGAGAAGACTTCATTGGTTTGCTCACTCTTCCATTCATAGAATCATAGAATCCTAGAGTTGAAAGAGAACTCCTGGGCCATCCAGTCCAACCCCATTCTGCCAAGAAGCAGGAATATTGCATTCAAAGCACCACTGACAGATGGCCATCCAGCCTCTGTTTCAAAGCTTCCAAAGAAGGAGCCTCCACCACACTCCGGGGCAGAGAGTTCCACTGCTGAACGGCTCTCACAGTCAGGACGTTCTTCCTCGTGTTCAGATGGAATCTCCTCTCTTGTAGTTTGAAGCCATTGTTCCCTTGCGTCCTAGTCTCCAAGGAAGCAGAAAACAAGCTTGCTCCCTCCTCCTCCCTGTGGCTTCCTCTCACATATTTATACATGGCTATCGTGTCTCCTCTCAGCCTTCTCATGTGCCTTGTCTCATTGGTACATTGCGATCCACTATTAATGCACAACTACTACTTACCCAACACTCAAACCAATGGAACATGCTGACTCTTTATAAGTATACTGTATTGTTTTTAGTACTGTTTGTTGTTGTTATTGTTTTTGTTGTTGATAATAATAATAATAATAATAATAATAATAATAATGACTTTTAAAGAGAATTTAAAGATCGAACTGCAAAGACTGTGGCACAAACCAGTAAAGGTGGTCCCAGTGGTGATCGGCACACTGGGTGCAGTGCCTAAAGACCTCGGCCTGCACTTAAACACAATTGGCACTGACAAAATTACCRTCTGCCAGCTGCAAAACGCCACCTTACTAGGATCTGCACGCATTATTCGCCAATACATTACACAGTCCTAAACACTTGGGAAGTGTCCGAAGTGTGATTCAGTACAACAGCCAGGAGAGTGTCTGCTATGAACTAATAATAATAATAATAAYAAYAAYAAYAACAACAACAACAACAACAACTATACTGTGCATCTTTCGAATCCAGACTGTTAAAAGTTTTGGAACACAATACACCAGACATCACGAYTGGGGATATATACATACATACATACACACACACACACACACACACACATTCTATGTATATATATATTAGGGCTGGGCGGTTTCGTTTCATAATTTCGTAATTCGTTAAAAATTCKTTATTTTTTTTAATAACGAAGCGATAACGAACCRTTCAGGAGCAACTAAAAAACGAAACGAATTTTTAAWTTTGTTTCGTAATTGTTTCGAATTCGTTTTGTATTCGTTTCGTTATCGTTTTGAAATCGTTTAGTTATTATTTCCGCATGTCTGGGGCAAGTTTTATAGTTGTTGTTTGTTTAATCAGTGAAAAAAAATTATAAATTATCACACCAACAGTCAACAACAGAGGGAGAGGGAAGCTTCAGAAGTTCCCCCTCTCCCATATGGAGGTTTTTTAGCGTATTGCGCGATCGCGTCCGCCATTAACGAATCGATTCGTAATTGTTTCGTAATTGTTTTGTAATTTACGAAATTTCGTAAATATCGAACTTTTTAAAAGAAAAAATTCGGAATTCTTTTAAAAATCGAAACGCAAAAAACCCCAAAAAACGAATCGATTTTAGAAACAAATTTTTCCGTGGTTGCCCAGCACTAATATATATATATACACATCGTGATGTCTGGTGCATTGTGTTCCAAATCTTTTGACAGTCTGGATTCGAAAGATGCACAGTCTGCGTGTGTGTGTGTGAGGGAGAGAGAGAGAGAGTTTGTGTGTGTGTGTGTGTGTGTGTAGTGTCCCTACTTCACAGATTTTCATTTATCGCAGGTGGATGCTTAGAAGCAGAAGTGCTTTGGGTTTTGCATCCCCCTCCCCGGATTTTGGAATGCCTTTGTATTTCCAGTTAAGGGATGCTCAACTCCATTTGGCCCCAGAAACATTTGGCCCTTTTCTGTCCTACCTGATCAGAGAGAAACCTCTCTCCTTCTGTTGGAGAAGGAACAAGTAACCTTCACCTGTTGCTTTCTGATTCTTCCAAGGGATGAGTTGGAGTCCGGCCTGACCTTCCTGGGCCTCCTGGTCATGGAGAACCGGCTGAAGGGCAAGACCAGGCCTGTCCTGGAGGAGCTCAGGGAGGCCCGCATCCGGACCGTCATGGTCACAGGTACTGTCTCTCCCTGCCTCTCTCTTTTGAGGGACAAATAACAAGGCTATCCATGCACTGAGAGTGGGCAGAGCCACTGCTGTGGAGCTACGGCCATTGTGATGCAGCCACGCTCCCATCAGTCCCTTGAGGTCCCTGCAGGTGGGCCAAGAGAAGCTCCCTTGAGACTCAATCCCTGGGCTTCTTCTTCTCCTTTGCAGGTGACAACCTGGAGACAGCCATCACGGTGAGCAGGAACTCTGGCATGATCCCTTTGGGGGAGAGAGTGATCCTGGTGGAAGCCAGTGATCCGGAGGATCCCCATCCAGCATCCGTCACTTGGCAGGCCATGGAGGACACACAGCCCTGCAAGGAGAAGAACCAGGTGCCATATGCTAGACTTCCTCTTAAGAGACAGGGTTTGTGCAGAATGTTAGAACATTTCGAGCAGCATGAGGGTTGATGTACTTGAGTGGCATGGTGGCAGCATTGGACAAAATAATAGGCCTTCTGTGCAAGAGCATAGAAAATCCCCACTCCTCGAATTTTCTCATGCCATGCTTTGAGCCTTGGGATAGGACTCTGGAAGGCAGGGTTCAGATTCTCGTTCAGCCCTGGAGGCCCATGGGTGACCCTGGGTGAGTCACACTCTCTCGGCCTCAGAGGAAGACAAGGGAAAGCTCCTACTGAATATATCTTGCCTAGGAAACCCAGAGGCTGGTCTTTTTGGTCTCACTGAAGAATAGAAATGCATTAATGGCAGTTGACAAATTATTTCTTTTAATGACATCTCTTAATGTCTTAATACACTCCTTTTCATTGATCATTAGAAATAGGCATATATTGTATATGGCACTAGTGATGGAGTTGCCCCACCTTCTTAGGAGGGCAAAACAGGTGTCCTTGTAGTTCACCTGCCAGTCCAGTATTAGCCATCATTACTGGAGAAACACTTGCTCTCACCATTGTACAGCCTCATGAGCTCTATTGTTGTTGTGGTGGTTGTTGTTGTTGTTGACATCCTTCCTATTCAGTTTCCTCTTCTCCTTCCTATCATCCTTCTTCTTCTTCTTTGGACTGAAGTCATTTCTTATGGTGGCTCTAAGGCCCCTTCTACAATGTCATATACTTCAGTTTGATGCAGATAATCTGGATTTTATATGGCAGTGTAGAAGGGGCCTAAGGTTGTCTAATTCGGAGTTTCGGGGTGCATTGCCAGCTGTACACAGATGATCTCCAACTCTGTCACTCCTTCCCACCTGCTACTAAGGAGGCTGTTCAAGTTCTGAACTGGTGCTTGGCCACTGTGACAGTCTGGATGAGGGCGAACAAATTGAAACTAAATCCAGACAAGAAAGAGGTCCTCCTGATCAGTCGCAAGGCCAAACAGGACATAGGGTTTAGCCCGTGTTGGATGGGGTTACACTCTCCCTGAAGATGCAGGTTCGCAGCTTGGGAGTGATCCTGGACATATCGCTGAGCCTGGAACCCCAGGTTTCAGCGGTGACCAGGAGAGCATTTACACAATTAAAACTTGCGTGCCAGATGCACCCGTACCTTGGGAAGTCTGACTTGGCCACGGTAGTACACAATCCGGTTACATCCCGTATAGACTACTGCAACGCTCTCTACATGGGGTTGCCTTTGAAGACTGTCCAGAAGCTTCAAATGGTCCAACATTTGGCAGCCAGGTTGCTAACAGGAGCAACACTCAGGGAGCACACAACTCCTCTGTTGTGCCAGCTCCACTGGCTGCTAATCTGCTACCGAGCACAATTCAAAGTGTTGGCTTTGCCTATAAAGCCCTAAACGGCTCCGGCCCTGCCTATCTGTCAGAACGTATCTCTCCTTACGAACCATCTAGGAATTTAAGATCTTCCAGAAGCTTCAAATGGTGCAACGTTCGGCAGCCAGGTTGCTAACAGGAGCACCCAGGGAGCACACAACTCCTCTCATCCTTGTACAGCCTCATGAGCTCTGTTGTTGTTGTTGTTGTTGTTGTTGTTGTTGTTGTTGTTAACATTATTCCTATCCCCTTTCCTCTTCTCCTTCCTATCATCCTTCTTCTTTGGACTGAAGTCATTTCTTATGGTGGCTCTAAGGCCCCTTCTACACTGTCATATACTCCAGTTCAATGCAGATAATCTGGATTTTATATGGCAGTGTAGAAGGGGCCTAAGGTTGTCTAATAGGCTTGGGCGATCAAGAAAAAAATGGTTCTAAACTCGTTTCGTTTCTAGGGTGCAACAGCGTTTCTAAATTCTGAGGACTTCCGAAATTTAAGATTTCAAAATTTCAAAATTTCCGAAATTTCGTAAATTACGAATCGATTCGTTAATGGCGGACGCGATTGCGCAATATGCTAAAAAAACCTCCAAATGGGACAGGGGGAACTTCTGAAGCTTCCCTCTCCCTCTGTTGTTGACTGTTGGTGTGATAAAACAAACAACAACTATATTATATTATATTATTATAATATTATTATATTATATTGTTGTATATTATATTATAATATTATTATATTATATTATTGTGTATTATATTATATTATTATAATATTATTATATTATATTATACAATTATAATATAATATAATAATATAGTAATATAATATATAATAATATAATATACAATAACATATATATAATATGTATTATTATTATTATATTATATATTATTCATATATTATATATATTATAAATCATAATATATATATAATATAATAATATAATATAATATACAATACTATAATATAATAGTATTATAATAATATAATATAATATAATATAATATAATATAATATTATAATATTATTATATTATTATATTATATATTATATATTATATTATAGTATTGTATATTAGAGTGAGGCAAGAAGAAGCAAAGGGGTAAATGCGAGATTGTAAAACTTGCACCAGACATACGAAAATAATTACGAAATAATTACGAAAATTGGAAAAATTGTTTCGATTCTTAATTACTCCTCACACTATTCCTGCATGGCTCGATATTGGATTGTAAGCTAATTTAAATACGAATTAATAACGAATTACGAAATTAACGAACTGGATCACCCAAGCCTATTGTCTAATCACCAGATTTTCTCAGCAAGATTTAACCAGAAGGGTTTGCCATTGTCTTCTTCTGAGGCCGAGAGAGTGTGATTCGCCCAAGGCCAGCCAGTTTGCATGGGAACTTGAACTTCCATTAGTCCTAAAAACCCACTTTGGGAATAACTTTCATCTGACTTCCAGGATCCCTGCATTACCATTGATGGAAGCAGCAGCAGCTCCAGTTTCCACTTTGCCATGAACGGGAAGACCTTTCAGGTGCTCCAGAAGTACTTCAGCCCTTTGCTGCCAAAGGTAAATTGGGATGAGGGGAGGCTCTTCGCTGGTGCAAATGGAATCACTGGTCATGTCTTACAGATAAGCTCATTCTGCTTTACTGCAGATACTATTGAATGGGACTGTGTTTGCACGGATGTCTCCAGGGCAGAAGTCCAGCCTGGTCGAGGAGTTCCAGAAATTGAAGTGAGTGATTTGGTCCTAAAACATAGACGGATAGAAAGGGAGGGAGGGGTGCTGCAACAACAAAGATGGATGGATGGACAGACGACAAAGTCTGTCCCAAAGGCCAGGCTGTGAGAGGACCAGAGCACACACAACCTCACACACACAAGGCCAGACAGTGGGAAGCCACCCCCTGTACAGTGTTCCCTCGCTGTTTCGCGGTTCGCTTTCCACAGACTCACTGTTTCATGGTTAGGGTTGAGAATTAATATTTTCTAATATCTATATATATATAAATGCTCTGTGCATAATGAGTGGCTTAAAAACAAAAAACTATGGGCCCAAATGACCCCAAATTTGGCAACAAAACTCCTCACAATCCAAGGAGTGACCATCACTGGAAAAAAAGGGAAGGAATGAAAGGGGGAAAGGGGGAAGGAAGGAAGGAAAGAAAGAAAGGAGGGAGGGAAAGAAGGAAGGAGGGAAGGAAAAAGGGAAGGAAGGAGAGAAGGAAGGAAAGCAAGAGGTACCGAAGGAAGGAAGAAGAGAAAGTAGAAAGGAAAGAAAAATGGAGGGAAATGCAGGAAAGAAGTAAAGAAAGAAGGAAGGAGAAAAGGAAATAAAAAGTGAAAGAAGGAAGGAAACAGGGAGGGAAGAAAGGAGACAAAGGAAGAAGTAGAGAAAGGGGGAGGGAAGGAAGGAAAGAGAGAAGGAAGGATGAAACCAAAGAGCGAAAGAAGGAATGAAAGAAAGAGATAGAGAAGGAAGAAAGGAGAGAAAGGGGAAGGGGAAGGAATAGGTAGGTACTAGGGCTGGGCGGTTTCGTTCGTTAATTTCGTAATTCGTTAATAATTCGTTATTTTTCTTGAATACGAAGCGATAACAAACCATCCAGGAGCAACCAAAAAACGAAACGAATTTTTAAAGCTATTTTGTAATTGTTTTGTAATTGCTTCGTTATTATTTCAGCTCCCGGGCTGCAAAGGGGCCCGAGCAGGGGCAAGGAGAAGGGAAGGCAGGCGAGAGAGAGAGACTGAGCGAGCAAGCTCCCTTCCCGGCCTGGCTTCCTCCCCTCGCTCCCTTGGCTCCCCCCGCCCCCTTCTTCCCCCTTTTCCCGGCTCACCTGGGCATGCACACCCCACACATGCCCGGCCCGGCGCAGGGGTGGTCCGGCGGCGTGCCCGCTCGGCGGGGCCCTGGCATCCGCCGCCCTGGGAAAGACCCGCGCCCAGCAGCAGCGGCAAGGCCGACGACGCTGCGGTTGCTGACTCCCCCGATCGCCTCCCCCGCCGGGAAAAGGGAACGCAGGAGGAGGCGCAGCAACGAGACGGAGGCGACCGCCCGGTTGGTAGGGAGGGAGAGGGAGGGAGGGATAGAGAGGGGGCGGACTAAAACTATTATTATTAAAACTATTATTTAAAAAACTAATATTTTCATGTTGCGCAACCGCGTCCGCCATTTTAACGAATTGATTCGTTAATAATAACGAAATTTCGTAAATACCGAACTTTTAAAAAGGAAAATTTTGTAATTATTTTAAATATCGAAACAAAAAAAACCCCAAATACAAATCGATTTTAGAAACAAATTTTTGCGTTGTTACCCAGGCCTAGTAGGTACCTCTCTTTCATAATAGTCCAGATATCTACCTCTACTTCGAAAATTCTTACTATAGGCCACAGCAGCACGTGGCAGGGCACAGCTAGTATTTTGTATATATTGTGGTTTTAAAATCACAAAATGTATAAAAATATATTAAAAAATATTAATTCTCAACCATATCCGCTAAACAGCAAGATGCAGAAAGCGAACCACTGTTTGTAGAAGCCCGCCGCTTGGTCAGCTGGCCAACGAGGATTGGCGAGGGCCGGCTTCCCCACCTCACCCTGGTAGCCCCATGGAGGCCATGGAACCTTGCAAAAACTGCCGGGGCAAGGTGGGAAAGCTGACCCTGGCCAATCCAGGGGCGGGCAGGGCCTGTTGCTGGTTGGCCAGCCAGCCAAGTGGCAGGAAACGTCCCACCGCACAGGGGTCTTCTGGGAAGAAGAAGCCGTCTGCAGGCAACATGGCCAGCGGGAGGGTGCCCACTACCACAACGGCCTTTGCCCGGTAAGTCAGGCAAGGCATTTTGGATTTTAAAACAACAGTGTATAAAAATATTTTTAAAAATATATAGTGTCCCTACTTTGCGGATTTTCAGTTACCAAGGAGGTCCTGGAATGGAACCCCCGAGATAAGAGAGGGAACACTGTATATCAAATATTTCCTTGGTGCTACCAAATATTTATTAAGGTTTCTTCTGCTGCCACCAATTTATTATTTCATAGGCCACCTCCTTCAATAAAATGTTTCAAAAGCCACACAAACTCTTCAGGTAAAATAAAACAAGAATATGTTGTTTATTTTGTTTTGAAACAGTAAATAAGTGTAGCAGTTTCAATAGATTAACAGGCTTTACTGGGTCAGAGAATAGACATATAACTTGAGTTCCTTAAAAGCAATTTTCCACATGCAAGAATACAAACAGGGTCATTTGAACCTTTAGAATTTTCCTTCCATACCAGCACTCTAATCACTATAGAGGCCTATTTTCCTCAAAGAGGTATCTTTTAACAACTGTTCCCAAAACTTTTCCTTCCTTCTTTCCTTCCTTCCTTCCTTCCTTCCTTCCTTCCTTCCTTCCTTCCTTCCTTCCTTCCTTCTCCAAAACTCTTAGCCAACCCTTCTACTTCCAAACTCCCACTGAACAAACTGTGACTACCTTTTCTCCTTCTATTTCCACCCATCTCCAGTTGCTAAGCATTTCCCTTCAATTTCATCATCCAATCAGACTGCACCTCTGGCTATGAGGCTGCCTGATTGCTCCATCCCTCCGCTCTCCTTAGCTTTTGCAAGCCAGGCCTGTATATTGCCTTTTACACCAGTCCTCTAAGGTAGGCCAATCAATTACAGATGCATTTCCCCAAAAGCCCAGGACAGATTTATGGACCACTATGGAAGGAGGTAGAGTCAGGAAAGTGTATTGGTTGGAATTTTGGACTGGGAGTCCAGGGCTCAAATCTCTAGGTTCTTGTAGGTTTTTTCGGGCTATAGGGCCATGTTCAAGAGGCATTTCTCCTGACGTTTCGCCTGCTCAAATCTCTGTTTAGCCATAGAAACCCCAATTGGGTAACCTTAGGTGGGTGTTCCGTCTCCCAGGAGCTTGGTTTGCTTTACCTTACAGTTGCTTGAAGTTGCTTCCCCTTGCATTTTTCCCAGGGATGCTGCAGCTCTGCAGAGCCCTGAAAGTTAACAGTTTCAGAGGCTGGAAAGCCAGTCTGCAGGCCTTTTGCAGCTATTGGCTTAGAAGGTATCTTTTTGGGTTTAGAGACCGCCCTTTTTCCCAGGGAAGAGATCTCCATTTTGGAATCTCCCCTGCCTTTTTAGTTAGAGAAGGAACTTCAGATGTGCTGGTGGTTAGTCAGGGTAGCTCTGGGAAAATCAAGTAATTACTAGGGCTGGGCAACCACGGAAAAATTTGTTTCTAAACTCGATTCGTTTTTAGGGGGGTTTTGCGTTTCGATTTTTAAAAGAATTCCGAATTTTTTCTTTAAAAAAGTTCGAAATTTACGAAATTTCGGAAATTACGAAACAATTACGAAACAATTACGAATCGATTCGTTAATGGCAGACGCGACCGCGCAATACGCTAAAAAAACCTCCAAATGGGACAGGGGGAACTTCTGAAGCTTCCCTCTCCCTCTGTTGTTGACTGTTGGTGTGATAATTATATTTTTTTTCACTGATAAAACAAACAACTATAAAACTTGCACCAGACATGCGGAAATAATAACGAAACGATTTCGAAACGATTCGTTTCAATTTTTAGTTGCTCCTGAATGGTTCAATATCGCTTCGTTA